ACCAAGGGCCAATCAGCTCGGAATGGAAATTCCTGAGCCTGGAGTTCTCTGGAGCAACCGGCTCTTGGCTTTCTCTCTCCCTGGAGTTCAGCTAAGGTTTTCTCTTGAAAACTTTCAAGTTCTGAGAAGTTTGAGGAGGCACAAATGGAGGATGGACATGACAACACACTGACTGTCTTCTCTTGGTGTGGACACCCTGTGTGCTTTTTGGGGTTGACGGCCGCGGATGGGTGAAGGGCCAGGAGAATGGATCAGTGGGGGACCCTGGGGAAACAGCTGCGGTGCCCAGCTCTCTGGGGGTGACGGGCATTGTCTACTGTTCCTGCAGCCTCTAGGACCTCCCACTTCTGAAATTATGTGCCCGTGCTGACCTACTGGGTATCAACCAGAATTGGTGGTGGTTGTTAGCACGAGCCTTCCACCTGCAAGGAAAAGGGGTTGTGAGAGATTTGACATTTAAAAAGACAGCTGGAATGAGTGAGGTATTGACTGACACATTAACTAAATGTCACCACTTTTGTTTCTGAAATTGTCAACGTTCAGTGCTTAAGTTATTCTAAATTAATTACATAGCCACTTGATTTATTCCTTACATTCCCCCTCCCTGCTCCCTCCCACCCTCTCCAAGCTTAAGAGCAGTACATTGGCTTATCCCCTTTGTTCTCAGGTTACTCAGTTGTGAAAGTGACAGGTCTTCAAGGAAAACGGAGAGCGTCCAGGCCGCTGTGCTGCAGTAAGCTCTCAGGATGCAGATCCGAGGTGGAGCCTGACCATGCCATCAAAGCAACTACACCCCTGTTTTACAGATGAAGGAAATGAGACCCAGAGAGGTTACGTGATCTGCCCAGGGTAGCCTGGAGAAGCTTGAGAAGGCAGGCAGGACTTAACCCACATCTTCTGGTTCTAGGTTCTTGAGTTTTCCAGATATACTGGGGTCAGAGTGTTGAATCCACCCTCACAAGGCAAATCTGGCAGGAAACAGGTAGCTGCTGGGATTGAAAGACTGGAGAATATAGTTCTACCCCCTGCTTCATTGCCAGGGAGAGAGCCCCTGGGAGCATAAGGGCAGCTCCAGGTTCGAGACCAGGGGTTACAGGAAGAACTTCTCTGCATAGCAAGTCACGTATATTTGGATCATTTGGGAAAGAAAGTTCCTGGTAATTGAAGGATGACAGTGTCTGAAGCTCGTCTGGCCCTTTGATTTCACAATCCATTTTAACTACAGTGTGTCATTGTCAGTAATTTCTCCAGGGAGATGAAAGACCATGGTATAAAGGGCCATAGCCCTTTCCACCATGATTAGCAAGTCCTCTGTCATCTCAGGGACTCACGTTTCCGAAAACACTTAGAATTTCTAGCCACGAGTTTTCATTCCTTATTGCTCCAGACTGAAGGGGCCTCACAAACCTGACTCAGGCACAGATTGCAAGGTGAAGCCACAGAGAAAAGAACTGCTACATGTCTCAGTATGCCTGAGGCTCCTGCCCACGTTGGCGCTCTGTGTCTCTCTGGATAATTCCTGATGTGTCACCAAACTTCCCCAATCTGTGCTGAAAAAAGAGCCACCTGGGGAAAAGAGTCACATACCTCCCCACTCCTACCCCCCGGACTAATTTACCGCGAGTTACTTGTCCTCGGCTGAGATCCCTGTAGGAGGAGACTCACCACTCTGGTTCTGAAAGGAAAGAGATACAAGAAGGCAGAGCTAGCCTGTGTGAATTCCTGAGTTTCCAGGCTTCCTCTGAATTCTTCTGCCTGTCCTCTCCCATGGCAGCTCATCATCAGTTTCCCTTCTCATCCCGTCTAACGGCAGAGGCTTTGTTCGGAGCTGCACATGGTAGAGTGATGAGCCCTTGACTGTGCTAACACTGCTTTCCAGTAGAGCTGCTGAATTACAGCCTTCACTCTTCCTTGTATTGTCCAACATAGAACACATTTATGGGCTGACTAACTGGGGCTGGGTGTGATGGGCAGACTCCCCAAGTCTTTAGCTGTTCCTAGAGGAGTAACTGATGTAGGGAATCAAGTTAGTATGCGTGACTGAGGGTTCACAAAGAGGTCATTGTAGGGCTGTCTCCAGGAAGGGATGAGGCTGGGCTGTCAGAGGGTACATTTGGGGTGCGCCATGAAGGGGATATGCATAGATGGCTGGGGTAGGAAATCCTTCTCTAGGATGCCTTAAATCTCTGGTATATCTCTAGCATTGCCCTTACCATATTGTAGAATAATTTTCTATTTTTGTGTCTATCTCCTCATCTGAATTGTGAGCTCCTTGAAGAGCTATGTTTTGTTAGAAGACAGCTTGGCATCGTGCTTAAGCATGTGAGCTCTGGGATTTAGATATCTGGGTTCAGCTGTGTGACCTTGGGCAAGTTTCTTAACCTCTTAGGGCTAGAGGAAGAATTAAGTGATATAATGGATGTAAAGAACTTAAAACAGTGTCTGGCATATAGGAAATGTTTTGTGTTTGTTAGTTATTATTAATCTGTGTGCCCTCAGCCCTAGCATGTTACCTGATATATACTAGCTGCTCAACACGTTTGCTGAGTGAATACCTATGTGCATGCAGAAGCAGATGAGCCTTCATTCATGGGAATGAGTCCAACTGAAGTTCTTGAGTGTTCTGGAACTGAGTGGGCAGGAAAGAGAAACTGGGCTATAGGGTTGAGTTTGGTCAGCAGGTTGGGAGTTGTGCCAGGACATTTGCAGTTGTGGGAGGTGACTTCTACAGAAACTTGGCAAGAGTTGAATTTAGTGTAAAAGGTCTAGTTAGCTGGTTTGAACTCCATGACTTGGTCCTGCACCAAGGATCACAACATGTGTTTAGAAGTAGGAACCCCAGAGGTGAGGATGAATTTGTGTACAGATTGTCAGAAAATGGCATTTGTGGGTGATTACAGTGTCCTTAAGAGTTGGATCTCTATCAATACTACCCAAAGCAATCTACAGGTTCAATGTAATCCCCATCAAAATCCCAATGATTTTTTTTTTTGGAAATAGATTCATCCTAAAATTCATATGGAATCTCAAGGGACCCCAAAGAGCCAAAAATAATTTTGAAAAAGGACACAGTTGGAGAATTTACACTGCCTGATTTCAAAACTTACTACAAAGCTATAGTAATCAAAACAGTGTGGTACTCACATAAAGACAGACCTATAGACCAATGAAACAGAATAGAGAGCCCAGAAATAAACCCACACATATATTGTCAAATGATTTTCAACAAGGGTGCCAAGATCATTCAATGGGGAAAAGACAGTCTTGGCAACAAATGATGTAGGAAAAAACTGGATATCCACATGATAAAAGAATGAAGTTGAACCCTACCTCACAGCCTGTACAAAATTTAACTGAAAATGGATCAAAGACCTAAGTATGAGAGGTAAAACTATAAAACTCTTAGAAGAAAACACTGGGGGAAATCATCATGGTATTGGATTTGGCAATGATTTCTTGAGTATGACACCAAAAGCACAGGTAACAAAAGAAAAAATAGAAAAATTGGATGACATCAAAATTAAAAACTTTTGTTCATCAAAGGACGTGATCAACAGAGTAAAATGACAGCCCACAAAATGGGAGACAATATTTGCAAATCATAAATCTGATAAGGGGTTAATATCTAGAATACATAAAGAACTCTTAAAACTTAATAAGGACAACAGCAAAAATTCAAAAATAAGCAAAGGACTTGAATAGACATTTTTCCAATGAAGATATGCAGAGGGCCAATAAGCACATGAAAAGATACTCAGTGTTACTAATCATTAGGAAAATGCAAATCAAAACCACAACAAGATACCACTTCATACATATTAGGATGCTTACCATCAAAAAATCAAACAATAACAATTATTGGTGAGGATATAGAGAAATTAGAATCTTTGTACACTGCTTGTGGGAATGTAAAATGGTGCAGCTGCTATGGAAAATAGTATGACGGTTCCTCAAAGTATTAAATATAGAATTACCATGATACAGCAATTCCACTTCTGGGTATATGCCCCTCAAAATTGAAATCAAATCAAGGATACGAAGAGACACTTGTGCACCTACGTTCATAGCAGCATTATTCCAATAGCCAAAAGGTGAAATGTCCACTGTGGATGAATAGAAAGCAAAATATGGTACATACATATAATGGACTATTACTCAGCCTTAAAAAGGAAGGAAATTCTGACACGTATTATAACATGGATGAAACTTCAGGACATTATTCTAAGCGAAATAATCCAGGATGAAGAATAAACGTCATGGGAATTCCCTGGCAGTCCAGTGGTTAGGGTCCCACACTTCCACTGCAGGGGGCACATGTTCAATCCCTGGTCAGGGAACTAAGATTGTGCAAGCTGTGTGGTGCAGCCAAAAAATAAATAAAATAAAAAGAATAAACATCATATGATTCCACTCTTATGAGGTACCTAGAGTAGTCAAATTTACAGACAGAAAACGGAATTATGGCTGCCAGCGGCTGGAGAGAGGGAGTGGTGGGGCTGGTAAATAATGGGTGTAGAATTTCAGTTTTGCAAGATGAAAAATGTTCTGTGGATGGATGGCAGCAATAGTTGCACAAAAATGTGAATATATTTAAAGTCACTGAGCTGTACACTTAAAGATGGTTAAAATGGGAAATTTTATGATATGTATATTTTACTACAATTAAAAAAAAAAAGGCAAGAGCATAGCTGAAGTGGAAAAAAAAGAGGTGGGTCCCTGCAAATGTGGGTGAAAATAGACTAGTGAGTCAAGTTACGTTTAAGCACTTTGGATTAACTTGTTATGAAGAAGTATTTTATGAAGCCTTTGATTGATGTTTTTGTTCATTAGCATTTTCATCGATTAGCTTCACTTGGGGACACCTCCATTATTATTCACATCACTTCTGTTCTCCTTGACCTCTCAATGTTTACAGGTCCTGAAGAACATCTCTTTGAGACTCTCCTTGTATTGGCGTGGCAGCGTCAGCCTCCTGTCTTCACATCTCATTTTGGTGTGTAAGCTTTCTGTAAATTAACATCTCATGCCTGACCTCTCAGCCAAGTAGCATGTTGGACTGCAGCTGCCTGCTAGACATCCTTCCAGCATCTCAAACTCAGCTGGGCCCAAACTGGACTCATCGGTTTTTCTCTTGTTCTGCTGAGTTTCTGGTTCCCTTGGAAGGCACCATCATTCTTCTGGTGCCTCAAGTGTAAAGCCAACAACTCTGAATCCCGTTTCCCTCTCCCTTCTTCCAGATTTGCTCAGCTGTCAGCTCTGTGGTGTTTTCCACCTGTGATCACCACATCCTGTGCATGCGCCCTTGTTTCCCTGTGCACTGCCTATGCTAGCCCAGCCCTTGGTCCACTCAACTGCCTGCTGGTCTCTTCGTCTCCAGTCTCTCCCAATGGGCTTGCCACAGCTGTGTGGGGGGTGCAGCTGCGACCCAGCCAGAGGAAAGCCAGGGAAAGGCCAGTCCTGTTCCCTGAGCTAGAAGATCAGACATGAGGATAGGGCTTACTTCAAAGAGGAGCAGAGCAGGACAGGACAAATCAGAAACTCCCGAGTGGCTTGTCGCTGAGAAATAGCCTGAGGAGGTAAGACTGGGTAAGTGGATGAGGTGTGGCAGCTGGGCGAAGTCTCAGATGCAGGCAAGTTTTGAAGTTCCAGGTGATCAGCTCTTTTGGGAGCAGAAGCCTAGCCTCCAATGGGGGGTGGGCAGCAAGTCTGTTTCCCAGTGGAGGCAGCTGGCAAGAAGTACGCGGGGACCAGGGTAGGGGAAAGGAGCGCTTCTCGGGCAGAAGTCCAGCATTCTGTCTGGGAAGAGCGGTGCAAGCAAGGGGGCAGTGGTGCTCAGGGGGCTCCTTTGTCTCCCCTGGATGCAGGTGGCTTGGCAGCCCTCAGAATTCCTCAGCTCTGGGTCTTCACGTGTATGGACCCCTCAGCCTGGAATGTGCCCCCTCCTCACAACTCCTACCCATCCTTAAAAGGTCTAGATCAGGGGCCCCTTCTTCCTTGAGCTGTCACTCCATCTGCAGAGCTGTGGTATTCTTTCTTGGACTTCTGTAGCCTTTTATTTCACCTCCCTTCCTGCATTTACCACTTTCTACCTTGGACTAGAGTTACTTATATTACCAAGTTACTAGACTAAAAAGCTTTTTGTGGGCAAGATTCAAGTCTGAGGCTAGCACAGGTGTGTGGCCCAATATATAGCCGTGTGACTCAACGTACAGTCCTTGATTTCATTCAAAAATGAATAGACCACAGTTTCCCTTTATTGGTTTCTTGGAATCAGACCTTCAGTGGCTGTCACCCTTCACGGGTCTGTGAAGTTCACGGTGGTCCTACCAAGTCCTGATGACCAAATATTTCTACTTCTTCTTCCTCTGGGAGCTTGAACCCCTTATGTTTTGGAGGCCACATGAGTAGTTCTGGGCAATGAACTGTGAAGGAAAGTGACATATATTCCTTCTGGGCCAGAGCACTGAGGCCGGGATGAGACCCTTCCGAGTGCTCTTACCCTCGGGCGTGGCAACTGGCAATGTCTGAGATGTTGGCTGCTCTGTCATCCTGAGTTCCCCTGAATCATTCCGATGAGCAGAGCCCCGCCTTGCCGACCTGTGATGAACATATAGCATGAATAAGAAATAAGCCTTTGTTGTTTTCAGTCGCTGAAATCTGAATGTTGTTACTGCTGTATAACCCAGTCCAGCCAGCCAGACGCATTTACCCTGATGGCTGATCTGCTCTAGATGTGACTAGCACATCGGCAGATCCTGGTGGCTGGTGGGTGACCTGATGGGAAGTCAGAAGCAAGAGGAAGCTGCATCTTTGGGCAACAGAGTGCTTGTCTCAGCAGTTTGGCTCCCTTGGTGTCATCTCACTGTGGAGTGCCAGTAATTCAGATGCAGATGTGCAGGAAGAGATAGTACCTTCCACTCTCTACTCTATGGGTTGCTTTCTAAATTAATTAAAAGCTGGGGGTGAGCAGAGAGGATATTCTATTAAGTTAGAATGTTTTTGTTTTTCTTTTTCTTTTAATTTTCGAGTCTGCAACAGGATTTTCTCAAGTTGTGTTTTATGAGAATTAGCAGGATTCCTCTCCCGGTAGGCGAAAGCATTGCACTTTCCCAGTATGAGTGTGTGACCCCTTCCCTAGAGAAGCTTCAGCATCTGGAGTGGCTGCTTGTTGAGCTCAACAGCTGAGAAAACAGCAGAGCCCCGTGTACCAAATGCCCTGTGAGCTACAAACCTGACAAAACAGGTGGATTCCAGCCTTCCGGGGTACACAGGTATTCCTTGGGCAGAATAAAATATGAACAAGCCCTTCCGCTGTACCTTGATTGAAGAGAAGTGGTTATCTATGTGAAACACAGATTAAAAGTAAAAGCTTTCCAGTGTCCTGTGTGTGTGCTGACTGCTAAACCTCAGGAATGTACGATGATAAGAGAAACGGGCAAGAGGAGATTTAATTGAATAAAAACTCCAGGCTGTGACAAGGGTGGGACGACACAAAGCAGTAATTAACAGCATACTTTTTAAAATGACAATGCAATTAATTGCACCCTGAGTGTAAGGGGAGGGAAGGGGAGGGGAGAAGCATTCTTCAGCCTAGAAACACTGCTCCATAAAGGGAACTTTGCACTTTCAAAAAGACATCGATGTACAAAAGGCCCTGGTTATCATGACTTCAGCGAAGCCCACATCACCAACCCAAGAAAGAGGTTACTCGTGGCAGAGGAAGCTGACAAATGAATCAACCTTGTATTTCATTTTATTCTGCAACTTGTAACCATTTTATGCTCATCTTTGAGGGAGAGAGATCAGGGTAGACAACGAAATGGGCAGAAATTCAGGTTCCATTCATGGTTTGGGTCGAGGACTAGTCTCCCCTGAGGATGCTGGAGGCGGGGGTCCAGGAGCTGAGAGCCTCCCTGGTGTGGGCTCCCCAGACTGTAGACGTTTACTAAAACTGCCATAGCGGGACTGGTAGCAGTTGGTCAGGGTGGTGTGGAGGTTAACCATAACCTGCTCAGGAAATGATTTTTCACAGCCACTGGGGAGGCTCACTCGTGTGAGATAGCTGCTTGGACATAAAAGGAATGCCTCAGAGCAGTGACTCTTCCATGATTCGCACTGATCCTATTCCCTTCTCAGTCCTCCCCATCTGCCTACAGGTTTGAAGATGACAGCTGGAGATGCATTTCAAGCTCACTTCTGGAAGGAACCCCTCACAATAATTTCTGGGCTCCCTATGATGCTGGAAAGTCAATGTCCCCTTCATAGTTACAGGACCCCCAGCACCTGCCCAATGATTGAGATGGCCATCTTGATGGGGTCATTCTAGAGTCAAGAAACAGAATGAAGTTCATGGCCTGTTGGAAGTCTTGTCATGACCTTGAGTTTCTTCTTCTCTCAAGAGAACATCCAGCTGCAAGGCTCTTGACTGGGAAGGCCTGTCAGTCACAAGACATTTGGGGAGAAAACTTATCTTTACACCAATGACACATTAGCCCCAGCCTAAAGCTCAGTACAGGGTGAATTCTCAGTTTATCTACATTGTTTTAAGATGCAAACTTCTTTTGCCACAATATCCTGTTACCTCCTGCCCAATCTGGTCATTTTTAGGACTTAGGAGACACTACCCAAAGTAATATCAGCACGGAAACCTGATAACTTGGCTTAAAACAAGGGTTACTTTATTGAATCGCTGCTCCTAAAGCATGTGACATATGTAAAGAGTGAGACGCAAGGTGTGTGAACAGTTTTTACGTTCTTGACCTGCCATTGTTGAAGGAAGCGCTTCTTCAGCAGACTTCAGCAGCAGTCACACACACAGCTCTGGAAATTGGCATTTCACAGCCACAAACTGAAGTGAAAACCCACCCACACATCTACCAGGGCTATACAGACTGAGATGGAGCAAATCAATCTAGTTCTAGGGGGTTGGTGGGAAGGCCACTATTAACTCAACAGAAATGGACGATTACAATACAGAATAGTTCAAACATTCTTTTTTCCTAAACTGAATTTGACCTACGGTAGAGATCTAAAGAAAAAAAAAATCCTTCATTACCACTGAAACAAACACTAAAGTCCTTAATAATCTATAGAACTAAAGTTTAAGATGAACATTGTCCTAGCATCTAGGGGGCTGAAATAGACTTAAGCTGACTTGGTTTTAATCAAGAAGGTACTGTTCATAAAAAGACTACACCTATTCCTTGGATTTCAAAACTTCCCATTCAGAAAAGAACGTTTTATGTAGTTTTTTCTTTGATCTCTTTAGGCATTTTAAACATTTGCTTGATACTTCATGGAACTATAAAGCTAGGTATAATGCAGAAATCATTCCAGAACATATGTGCTTCCTTTTTCTTTTTTTACAAGAAGGTTATTTTTGAGAACAAAGATCTTGTTTTCAAACAAATATGGTCATTAACTGTGGCGCGCCAGAAAACATAGGGCATGTTCGTTTCAACAGAATTATTCCTAAAGGAAGTGACTCAGTTCCCATGAGGAATCAAGACATGTTCAATTCACGAGGACTGGGAGAGAGGAGCCCTGCACGACCAGCTGAAGGTTCACAGATAGCTCGGAATGCTCCCAATTTCAACATGGGGCCAGGAGTCCACATCTCGGTTTATGTCACATCAGCAAAGCGCTTCTAAGAGTCGTAAGTAGTAGCCTTTGTAAAGGTTCTTCGCCGAAGCCCACTTAACAAAGTAGCCATTGCCCATCCCACTTCCCTCTCCTCCGGGGTTAGGGAGTTCAGTGGAGACACAAAATTTCAGAAACTCAAACCACCTCCCCCTCAAAGACGACTATGTTACACTGTATTTAATAGAACCAATGTCGGGGCTCTCCCCTCTTTTTTTTTTTTTTTCTCTTCTTTTCTTCCTGACAGCAGATCCATAAAAAGTGAAAGAACCAGAAAAACATCACCTTGGGAGACAGAAAAGACTAAGACAGATCCGACCACACGACAATTGTCTCGGCCTTGACCTACACGGGGCAGCTAAGACTCTGGAGTGAGAGGCACTGCCCCTACCGCCACTGCTGCACAGCACTGTCTTTAGACGGTTGAACAAGTGCAAAAAGAACCCTGCTGAGTCTCGTTGGTGTGGCCCGGCCAGCGTGCAGCTCAGGGTGTCGGAGGTGGTCTCGGAGACGGGCACGAGCTCTCGCTGTCGAAGCTGGCGGCTCGGCCCTGCCACTGGGGAGGGGAGAAAAAGCCACTTACCCGTTGCCAAAGGAATGTACATTTCAACTTTTGAAGCTCATCCGGCCCATGCACTGAATTCACCTTTTCCCGGCTTTTCATAAGCTTTCGTGAATTTTGCTGTTAGCCATGCAAAAACGTAAGGAGACCAGCTTTCGAGCTTCTAGTTTGGAAGGCCTGAGTTTTAGAAAAGACCTGCTGCAGAGATAATGAAAGCTTTCTCTAGCGTGTGGAATGCATGTGTGCAGGTGTGTGTGTGTGCACGTGCGTGCGTGCACGTGCGTGCATGTGTGTTAGTTAATGAGGTGCTATGACTGGACCATTTCTGAATGCTTCAGCCATTTTTCACGCTGAAAATCGGATTTTGTTAGCAGCGAAAGAGGCCGTCTGCAGAGTATGCCCTTACGGCCAAGATCCTGCAATCATGAATTCTTAGCAATTTGTCTGGGAGCTGTTCGTGCAGCTAAAGCCCTGATCTTGCTTCAGCGCTGGGCTCTCCTCTTCAGTCTGAGCGCTTCCCGGGGGCCTTCACACTCAACTTGTGAAGAGGTGGGAGGAGATGGCAGCCCCCTGCCCTTTCGGGTGCCTCCACCTTTCTTTTCCTCCCTCTCCTGTCTCACAGGCTGCCACCCCCTCAGCCCGACTCTAACCCCTCTGTGAAGATGGTGATGTAATTAGGTGTAATGGAGTGAGGAGAGGGCTGAGGGTGGATGACCCACGCTTGGCCCATCGAACCCTTCTTTACATTGAAAAGCCAGGCAGAGCTGGAGCCATGTTTTCTGGACAAGGATCTGACCCTGTGAATATTCCAGAGCCGTCTGGTGACTGTATAACTTCAAAGCAAGTCAGTGTCCACTGCTCACTCCATCCCTTCTGTGAGCAGAGGAGACGCGATACTCTCCTAGGTGCCTGCGGGACAAGGCTCCAGGGAGAGAAGTTAGGTACGTGGGTGAGATGGCCTTTCTGAACCTGAAGTGCAGCCCCTTTTGCTTCTCATGGGTTTTTGGGGTCTCCATGTGGAGTGATGGGGCTGAGGAGAAGTGGACTACACCTCTGTGTTATGTGTAGGGGTAGGATGGGGAAGGACGCGGTCCCTTCTCCACCCCACACCTCACAACACAGCGCTTTCTAGACAGAGCCGAGCCACTTAAGGATTAGACCATCCCTTCCAGCATCTCCTGTGGGAACCCACAACGCAGAGGAGAGACCCAGACCTGCTGATTGCTTTCATGTTCCTGGCTCTTAGGAAAGCCTCTGTTACCTGTCCCCAGGCTTGGTACTTCATGGTCCTTTAGTACCCACTGGGCAAGCCAACCTGAAGATCTTTACAAGTAATCAAAGGCTGGACAGGCAGGTATTGATGACCACCATAGCGTGACCTGGGCCTGAGCAATCTTAGCATGCGAAACCCAGAGGCAGGTTTGGGGGATCATCGAGGCTAGCTCTTTTGTTCTTGCAGATAAGAAAACCAAGACGCAGAGGGGTCAACGCACAGCTAGTTAGGAGCAGAGCCAGGATCTGAGGCCAGGTCTCCTAACTCCGTCCACACTCAGTGTTCCCTCTGCTCCATCCTGTGGCCACCTTTGCACCTGGCCACATCAGGAGAAGAAGGAGACACACAATGGAATAAGAAACCTAACCTCTTTGGTGCCATACCAGGTACTTACTCCTAACTCCGGTGGCAGTCTCTCTGATTGCAGCATCCACGTGAGAGAAATCACAACCGAGGGTTTCCCTGGTGAAATATTTTACATAAATAAATGCCTGGTTTTTGAGCCCACTGTGACTTCTGACTCAAGTGTTTCTTAACCAGAAGGTGACATAAGATGATTACTAATGCTTTCATTTAACAGATCTTCATTTTAGAGCTTCTGCTTTTTCTGTTACAACCTTTAATGTCGGTGAAAGGTACATTGTAATTACCGGCTTCTCCCCTGGGTAAGCATGCCTCTTAAACAACCTGACTGATTGATAGGCCAGCTCAGAGGAGGAAAAAAAGAAACGGCTACACAGAGTACATCTTTTTTCCTTTATATAATAGCTCAAAGAGAAGTCGCACGGAGCATAATTGTTTATCCAGGACACATGAAAAAGGCACACTGGCTCCCCTGCCAGCCCCTGATTTTTCCTGTGAAGATAAACAGAGGGAGGAGATGGGGTTCCTGGACAATGGGAAGATGAATGGTTCCTGCAGGCTTATCATGGTGGCTCTGAAATAACAGTGAATTGGTCTCCGGGACACCAATGAGGATAATTATTCAAGGGCAGCTGTGGTCCAGTGAGATCTTTTATTGTTCTGAAATGTGTGACATTCCAACAGAGATATAAAATCTCTGGCAGATGATCTGAATTTGACCCTTCATAGTAAACCGCCTTGGAGAAGATCGCTGGTCAACGTGGGCTGTGTGTGTGGTGACAGCGACAGCACGTAGCATTGGGCAGGAGTGCTGAGAGGAAAGAGGCCACAGCCTCTGCTGGGGAAGGATGCTCACTGTGGCTTAATCAATTTTTATTCATGAAAAAATCCCAGCAGGGAAAAATACCTTTTCAGTTAATTTGTTCCTTCAACCTAATTTTAAAACTCCAAACAAACAAGCCAGTATGGTGCCCTCTGTCCTCGTTAATAAAAAAGAAATGAGGGCTTCCCTGGTGGCGCAGTGGTTGAGAGTCCGCCTGCCGATGCAGGGGACATGGGTTTGTGCCCCGGTCCGGGAAGATCCCGCATGCCGCGGAGCGGCTGGGCCCGTGAGCCATGGCCGCTGAGCCTGTGCGTCCGGAGCCTGTGCTCCGCAACGGGAGAGGCCACAACAGTGAGAGGCCCGCGTACCACAAAAAAAAAAAAAGAAATGATCACAGCACTTGAAACTCCTCTAAGAAATGTGGAATATAAATATAGTGCTTTCTAGATATGATGCCATTTATCTTCCCAGGAGGGGGAGAATAAGAGTTTTGTATGTATTATACAAACGGGAGAAACAAGCTCCAAGAGCAAGGTTCTTGCTCAGTGTCCAGAACAGGACCAAAAAGAAGGCAGGAGCTCTAAGGATGGTTGAGACGATAAATGTTCAAGTACAATGCATCACATAAACACAAAGAGGGTGTACTTAATATTACCCTAGTGGTTTTTAGATGCATCTCTATAAAGGTACTTAAACTATAGATGCAAAAAAGTGTAGGTACACATTTTTACAAATTTGTACTGAAGAAATCCTAAGTTGCCAAGATGAATGTCATTTTCAGCTTCTTCACACAGAGAAATGATCAGCTGAGCAGAAAATGGAAGGCCAGGGAGTGGGGGAAGGGAAAGTCTCTGGAACTTGGTGTGCGAGGTCAAGAAAAAAGTAAACCCAAAGGATATGAATCAATTTATTCTCTTTCCGTTTTCCATATACTGTTACTTTCCCTTTTCTGTCTTATCAAATATTCATTTTCAAGGGCTTGGTTCTACTTTATCTTTCTTTTGTAGTCTGGACGAGTGAGTCGGAGTTCTCAAAGAAACAGGACTTGAAATCAATTATTTGGCTTAATTAGGTGGTATGCGTCATGGAGAGCGATGCTGGGGCCGAGCCCCAGCCCCTCTGTGCTACCCTGCACCTCAGCCCCATCTCCAGCCACTGTTGGCTGGTTACTCCAGTCTGTGTGGCCAGACTAACCCAGCAACAGCAATGGATTATTGCAGCTTCAAGGTCAGAAAGGCGATGCAAGATGTGGGCTCACCTGCCACCTGTCATCCCGTCATTTTGGGCCAGAGTTTCCTAGAAAAGCTAAGATGGGAGGAGCCCACCCCCTCATTTTACCAACCAGGAAACTGAAGAGCAGGTGGGGCAGTGAGGTGCCTGAGGCCCTGCAGCCCATCAGAGGCCTCTCAGCTCCCATTCCTTGCCCCTGCCCCACGCCATCCTGAACGTTTTAGTATACTTATTCTACCCTTAAATACCTGCAAAGGATTTTAAAAGGAGGGGTGCCACACCCCCTCTCTAGACTGAATCAGCCCTGCAGTCGGTGAGGTGCTGGATGCCCACTGGCTGCCTCCTGTGTAGGTGCAGGCTGGTTGTGTGTACCTCACCCACACCCTGCAGAGAGGGCCTTCTGGAAGAAAGGGGAGCCCAGGAGCTGAGGGACTGGCCTCACTCATTAAAGCTCCACAGCTGTGGTAAAATCAAGGCAAACACCAGACAGAAATGTGAAGCCTCACGCTGCTGGCCAGCAGGCTTGACCACCCTGAGAAGGAAGAGGAGACGGCGGATTCTCTGGGTTTGCTGCCCACACCTTTTCTGTGTCATAGAGCACGGGGAAGGGGTTACGCTGTTTTTTAAGCTGAGGGGCCATGTGGCTTATTTTTTTATTAGTAGATTTTCCAATTTTTATACAACTCTCTAGACTCCCTGGCTGGAAACCTATTAAAATGAGTGAATGATCACCTGGCTTTCTAGGATATGGGTGGAAGTAATAAGATGAGGTTTAAAACTTGCTTGGCTACCCCCATGTCCCAAACCATTTAAGAAAAAGCCGGCCGGAGGACCACCAAGGTGATGAACGGCAGGATCTTAAATTGGTACCGTTTGGTGGAGGTGGGGCAGGCTTGTGTCACTGGAAGGAACATTTTCTTTGCAGCTGAGAGAGCAATAACTAGGTCAAGGTTATGAGGCAAGTTGGAAAGGTCCAGGGCTGGAGCCCAAGTCTCGGGACTCCCAGGCAGTGCTGTGTCCATTACGTCTCTGTTAGGATCCGGCTGGAAACTGGGCCACCTTGAAGCCACACTCTCTTCTCCAACAACGGGGAGAAGCAACATTCACGAGGGTAGGATCCTCTCTCTGGCCAGCTCCATCCACGTGGCGAGAACTGCCCCAGGACTGTCTGGCTAGAGCCTCAGGGGACTTACTGCTTCGACAGGGGTAGAATTTCTTGCCAAGTTCTGATCTCACCCTCTTGGGGCTCTCTCTGAAAGGACTGACTTGGCTCAGGGGCTTCGTGGAAGCATTCCGGACCTGGCACAGTGAGCTGCTGGGAAGGCTTCCTCCAAGTTTTTCTTTTCTGTTTTGAACTCAGTGTCACTTTCAATATACTCAACATCAAAGGCTTTTTATCAAGCAATTTCCCACCATCTTCCCCCATTTCCTTTCTGCCTGTTACACCCTGGGTGAGAAGCGTGTATCTCCCCCCGCCAGTGCCCCCCAAGGACCCACAAAGGCGAGGTCTCGCAGCAGCCAACTGCCATTCTCCAGCCCACGCTGCCATGCAGCAAACATGCCAAGGGCCAAGCGTGACCTCACCCACCTCTCTGAAGGATTTCTTTACCTCCACCAAGGAGTGCCAGTGTGCGATGGGCTTCCGCGGGTATGCCAGCATCTCGTTCCAGTGGTCCCTGCCCAGGCCTTCGGCACTGATCCCCACACGACAGACTCCTATGATCTCGTTGTGGCCCACTCTAAGGGAGAAACAAAGGGCCCGGCATCGGTGACCAGACATGCTCTCAGAAAGGGAAGTCCCGCGGTCTGGGTCTCAGCCTCCCAGGTCTAACTCAGAATACTGAGCTCTGTAAACAGATGCTCGGCAGGGCCTCAGGGTGCCAGCGGCAGTGACATACTGCCCAGTCTCCTTGGGTGGACATTGGACACAGACAGATGAGCAAAAGGTTCTCAACTTGTTTGGAATCTCAGGAATGGTGGGCAGGTGGCCTGACTCTGGGGAGTGGGAGAGTTTAAGTCTCTTCCTTTATTTGACTCAGCGAGCACTTGAGACATTAGCGCTATTGGGAAATAAATCAACCTGCTCTGAGCACCATTTCTCCATACCTAGCGGCTGTGATGTGATTCATTCGCTCAGTAAGAACATCAGTCATCACTCATATTTGTTCACCCAGCATCTACTATGTCTGGGAACTTGTGCTAAAGATCCTGGATTGAGGCTTTACTGCATGTTTTTTTTCTCCTTCAGTGAAAGTGACACCTGGAGAGAAGGAGTCACAGTGGCTGACGTAGTTGGAGAATGTGTTTGAGCCAGCCTTGACGGGGAGGCAGGATTTGGAAAGTGGTGGAGAAGAAACACATACAAGGCGGGGGAAATCAAGCTGGATGGATATGCTGGGTCCAGATCTGGAAGGTCTCGGGAGTCCAGGGGAAGAGCTTGTCCAGAGAGCAGGAGCTACTGATGGTTCTTGAGAGGGGCAGGCCCAGGAACAAAGTGGTCTTTTAGGAAGGTGTGCCTTGGTATGTTGGCTGGGTTGAGGCAGGAAGTGATGGAGCCAGGGGTCAGCTAGGAGGGCTGCACAGACCTCCCCAAGTGGGAGTGGTAGCAGCAGTGGAAATGGAGAGGACGGGGGGAGGGTGGTGGGCAGGATTCTAAAGGACAGATGCCAGATGGAGGAATGGGAATAGTCGGGGGGGAATTCAGGGAAATTGATGGGTGGGGCAGCCCCTGATGGAAATGAGCCCATTGGGAAGTGAAGCTTGAGCTTCTACTTTGGCGGGGAATCCATGCTTTTCCTCAAACTCCTGTACCCTCCTTGGGTGGAGCCAGATTTGAGACCAATGAGTGTCTGAGCCATGAACCACAAGGTCCAAGGTCAAAGAGCCCTGTGCTGCACTGAGGTGGGGACGAGGGGCAGGGAATCGTGGCCCTCAGGGACCTGTACCTACCGATCATAATCCATAACCGAGATGAGCAGACTGACTTGATCCATATTCTCCGGGGGAATGTCAAAGATGATGGCCTCATTGTAGACGGGGTTGAGGGTGTTCTTCTTTATGGTGGTTTTCTTCTTCTTCAGTCTCCGCCCGTCACAAAGCAGGGACACTTTGACGTATGGATCTGTGCCAATGGGGGCAGTGAGAAGGGAAGGGAGCGTGTTAAACAGATGTCCTTAAACATCGTGTGCAGCAGAAGGATGGAAGTCCCAGACCTACTGTTATTCTCAGATGGTATCAGTGGGCTGTTAAAGTAATGAAACCACCTTGTATTTATGTAGCACACCTGTCTCTGCAGATGCTCTGTGCTTAATAAACACAGAGTCTTTGGTGACCTCAGGCTTCTTAGCAGAGTGTTTAACGGACTTCCCCTAATGGGGAAGCTGGCCCCAAATCAGACAGGATACTTGCCCACGGGTATGCAGTTCACTAAATCTCAACTCTATGGTTGGCTGGCTGGCTCCAAAGGGTGGGGAAGCTGAACAAAGGCACTCTGTTCCTTTCACCTACTTGGAGCCTTTTCTCTGGGGGGTCTTGTCAGCGTTATTAACCAAAGCATAAAGTGGGTAAAAATAGAATCAATGACACCCGAGGAGTAGCAATGAGACAGAGTAAATGAACAGGGACAGTCACGATGCTTGTCCGGTCCTCCCTACCTGAGGACAGGATTATGTGTCTCATTGTCCCATCAAGCTCATTTCCATCTGGCATCAGGGAGGGGGTAGGAGCCCTGCTCTCTGCCTCCCCGGAAGCTGTTTCCTGCCCACTCTGGGCAGTGGAGGAGGAGGGGGCCGTGGCCGGGGGACTGAGTGAGGCAGCCTCCTGGGACTCAGGGTGGCCGGCTGCCATTTCATCTCTCAGTGGTATCTTGGAATCTCTCCAACCCTCGAGGAGATGTCTTTTTACTGACCTCCCACGCGCCTCCCATCCTTGTCTCTTCTTTAGTTTTCTGAATGGGTATTTCATGGTCAGCTTCCTACCCTGAAATTTTCTACTCATCCAAGTGAAGTGACACCGATTGTATCTCATCGCTCAGGTGTCTCAGTCACCGTCATAACTGTTATTTATGCTGCACAACTCAAGAAACGGGACGGCAACTCACAGGTAATAATAGCTTTTGAGACACTGATGTGCTGAGACACCTGCTTGCCCAGAAGCCAGGGCTCCTGTGACTCTGTCAGGAGGTGCGGACAAAGCAGCCGCTCCCGGCTCCTCATTCACAGGCGTATGGCTCTATCTCCTGGGCACCCAAGTACCCAACGAGGCGCTCATTCTCCCTGGGGAATTGTTCAGGTGGCAGAAGAGGTGCACAGCTTTGGGGAAGCTACAGAGACCCGTGACATGGGATCAGAAACTCAAGCCTTAAAGGCAGTTCTGTAGATGCCCACATGTGCTACGGACTCACCAACGTGACAGCAGCAGCTGTGCCTTAGCCATGGGGGCACTTGGGTTTATGGGGTACCTGGGGAGACCATGAGGTGTTTAATCACCCTGCTGTCTCTGACGACCCATTTGCAAGTGTTCTCTCTCAGGAGGACGTTCAGTAAAAAGGAAGGAGGAGTTCCTAGAACTGCTGTGAGATAGCTTTCTCGTGTCCGCAGGCTCCATTCTCTATGGATACGCCCCGGACCGTGTTGAGGTCCAAGCAGATGGGTGGGATAGCTACCTCCGAGACCTGTTGTTAACTTGGCAACCTCTATGCTCCTGAAGTGTGAACATTGTCTTGGAAAGCGTCTTCAGGCTTGAGGCTGCCCAAGTGCTGCCTCATCCCCTGCCATGCCTATTTCCATACACGCCCACAGCGGAGCAAACCTCCATGTCGCCAGGCTAGGAAAGATGTGACAGAGCCACCTGTCCCACGGGCCACTAGGCAAATGCCTGATGATTAGCTGGGAGATTCTCAGCTTCCTTCCCTACCTCTATTCACTCGTATGAGGCGTATCTAATTTATAAAATTCAGTGGGTGTTTCCGTTGAAGGAACCCATACTCTCACCATCATCCAAGAGGCTAAGCAGAGAGAGGACTGTTCCTTAGGGTTTTTGCTCTAGGGCAGAAGCCTGTGCTTCTAATGGAATGCTGGCTCCAGACGACCTTTGAGGTCCTTTCCTCCAGCAGCCAATGATGTTTATGCAGCTGAGGGAGGCGGCACAACGACCAGCAGTGTGTTTCAGCCTCCTTGTCATGAGGGCCATCATAATTCAGCATGCAGTGTGTGTCAGGCACCACGCTAAGAGATTTACACATATCATGTCATTTAAACTTCATGTCAACCCTGTAAAATATTCATCATCCCCCTCTTATAGACATTGAGGTTTGAGAGATTAAGAAACTTGCCTAAGATTTCAACTTAAGTCTGACTCCAAAGTTTACATTTGTAACCACTAGACTCAAAGCAGTACGGACCAGATGTGGCAGAGATGGGTGTGTTTACTCACTCACCATCCCTTTGGGGTATACTGATCCTTATTATTATTTTGTATTATTTTTTATTGTCATGGCTCTAGTGGATAGGCTTAAAGAATTGATTCACGACTAGTTGAGATCGAGGAGAATAGGAAGGTCTTTGGTTTTAGAGGTCAAAGTCATATAAATCAAGAACAGGTAAGAATCAAGAACATCCGCTCCCTAGTTTAGTCCAACATCAAAGCAGTCCGGGCTGAAGGCAACCTCAAACTTATCCTCCAAAACAGGAGATCTAGTTTGAGAGGCCCCTGGCAGGTGTGTCCCCACAAAGTTCTTTATCCTATAAATTCATTCATTCATTCATCATCCAATACATACTTATTCATTGCTTAGTGTGTTCCATGAACTGTCCCAGACACTTGCTTACCTCAATGAACAAAATAGAAATCCTTAGCAAAAAGAGGACCCCTGAATTTTCAGAATCAAGCTGAGATTTAATACCAGATTCCAAACCCAGGTAGAAAAGAGAGGCAATCATGAGAGGGAGGTTAGAACTTAGCGTGAGAAAAGTCTCTCACCCCCAACCCTCTGATGTGGAACAGCCTTTACGATTACCTTGGCGACTTCGCTGTAAGCTCTCTCTCTAGCACATCAATTTAATTACACCAGAGAAGATAGTGTGGGGACTTGGGTAGCAAAATCCTATTTCCTTCAGCAGTCTTGAGCGTCCTCAGTGAATTTCTGTCCCTGCACACACTTATTTTGATATTAAAATGCAATCTACATTGGTTGTATTTTTGGAGGAAGCCAGCTTGCTGCTGCCTAAGAGCTTTGCACGTGTCGGAAGAGGTTCTTTAAGCTCCTCACCACATCCTGATGTGTGGTGGTAGCTTCAGTGGAAGGAGAGGCGTCAGGGCAGGTGCTAGAGGCATTGGGTCAGGCGCTATCTGGGGCAGCTTTGGGCCTGGAAGGTATGAGTGTTGCAGAGAGACAGTGCGGGCTGGGAGCAGAGGCTCTGAGGGATTCAAAGCCACAAACAGATACACCTCACTTCAGCGTTTCTTGACCACCCTTCCCTGAAATCTCATATTTCAAGGCCTAATATCTCATCTTCTTCCAAATGCACCAGGTTGGGCCTGGGCCAAGATGTTTTCAGCTAGACGGTCACCTCTTTATGGCAACTGTGATTACACTAAGGAAATAATTAATGAGCAAAAGGAAAACTCTTCCATATACTCCCAGCCAAGTTCAGAGGCACCTGTGGAGTGGATTTACATCGCTAACTGGGATCTCCAGAAGAGCCTCTTGGGTAGGGGTCTAGGGAAACAAACCAAGCCTTTCCCTGCATTTGCTACTGAGTGCAGCCCAGGCGGTTCTACGTGCCTGCTCTCTGGGATGCTCTACCCCATCCCTTGGGCTAATTTGAGCCGACACGGGGAAGGAGGCTCCTGGGACTCCTCTGTCATATCAAAACTCAAAAACCTTCTCTGACAATGACTTGCAGAATCGTGGAAAAGGATCAAACCTCTGACGCCGGGTCCAGCCTGTAGGCTCTGAGGCTGCATCCAAACCAGCATCTCCTCGGTTGCTAGAACAGGACTTCTTTCTCCTGCTGTACCTAGCAGCTCTCCTGGTGCTGAGACAGAGGCCCAGAGCCCTGCAGGAAAACCTCAAATACAAGTGCACTTTGCTTTTCAGCGCCTCTGTTCCTTTGGCTCGGTCTGCAGGGCTGCCGTCGCTGCGTGGACCTACAAACACTTAAGACACTCAAACTTGACATAACCCTTGGAAGTCCTGAGGCCTCACACAAACTAGAAAGATGTTCCTTAATTTTTTTCACCTATTTATTTTCTTCTTATTCTCTCCATCCTCAAAGAGAAAGAATGATAGTAATAGCCAATATCTACTGACTGCTTATTATGTATCTGGCACATTTCTAAGCATTTACTTGAATTAACTCGTTTATCCTTAAAGCAACCTGTGTAAGTTTTTTTTTTTTTTTTTTTTTTCCAGATCAGGAAACCAAAGCATTACACCACAAAGAAGTGGCAGAACTGGAATTCAGAGCCAGACCATTTGCCTGCAGGGCTGTGCTCCTGTTCGAAGAATACTGACATTTCTTCCCCCTTCTCTCTGAACATCTTTCCACATCCTAATATCTAGGCTGCTGGGAGGCCACTTGGCAAGCACTCGGGTAGGAGAGGTACCTGAGTAGCCTGTGATGTCCATCGCCTTGAGGTTCCGACATTTGATCACAGTGAGGGTGAGCCTGCCTGCTGTGGGCAGGTAGCAGAGGGAGAACATGATCTCTCCCAAATCCACGCTTTCCTGCAAAGAAGCAGACAAGAGGGCAGATGAGGGGCACACAGCTCCAGTGCAGCTGCAGGGCCGCTCCGGAGCCCAGGAGAAGGCTCTCTGAGGGAGAGTGCTATGTCTTTAAGGCCTGACGCTCTGGCCTCTATGCTGAGAGTAACTGGGTATAAAAGGCAATGATAACAACGCTGGCTCTTCAGCAGAATTTGTCCCCTTCAGTATTCCTTCTGAGCTCTAATCAGACTCTAGTCCTGGTCCTCCCCCTCCTGCTTTGGCCTCACCTGCCCTACCTATGCTCTTTGGCTGCAGCCTCCAGACCACCAGGCCTTTTGGGGCCCAGCCCTATTCTCCAACTTACCCTTCTCAGTCACTGGACCCCTTGACTCCCCACCCTGCCTGGCCTGGGGTCATGACAGTATTCTGTACAAGACCCACTCTGGCCATCAGGGGTGCCCTCTCCCCACCCCGCTGGACTGCCTCCTCTTCCTGTGCCACGCCTGGTGGATGAGGGTGCTGTTACTGCAAAACCTCTCCCTCGGGCTCTGAGGCTGACGTGGGGCTCCAAGACATGGAGGTGTTTCCTCTCTTAAATCTCCCAGACCCAGGGTAGAAGAAGAGGAGGTCGGGGTTTGGGCTGGCTCTGATTTCAGATGCAGATATCCATTTGTTCGCTCATTCAGTCAGTCAACAAGTAGTAATTGAGCACCTGCTATGTGCCAGGTGTTGCTCTGGGTACTGGAGATATGGAAAAGAACAAAATAGACAAAAATCGCTGCTCTAACGGAGCTTACATTTTAATAGGACAAAGGACAAGAAAGATGGTAAGTAAGTTGGTAAAAAGGATGAAGGAGAAAAAAATAAGGCAGGGAAACAGGATATGAAATGCTCATGGGTGAGACCACAGTTGTTGAAATTTTAGACAGGCTAGCCGGGGAGGCCTCCCGGAGGAGGTGACTTTTGAGAAAGAGAGCAGTCAAGGGTGGCTTCAATGTTCTTGTCCCTTCTCCTCACAAAGAACCACCCTCTACTGGGGACGCCAAGAGACCCCTGATACTTGGCCTCACCTGGAGAATAACCTGCCACCCCTTCCAGAGCCTGTGGTCTCAATGCTCTCCCCTAGGTGGCACTGATACCCACCCTTTCCCTAGCCCAGGATTTGTCCTTTTTTAACCCGCTGGTGAATCAAATCCCAGGAGTAGCAGGTGAATCCTCCCGGCTCCCTGGGTGAAGAGGTGGAGGGGGCAGGGGTATTGGGGGTGGGTGTGAGGGGTGGAAGGGTGGTGTCTGGCTGGGGCAGAGTTGGATACAGCGTAGAGAGAGCTACCCCCACCCCCTCACCCCAGCACAAGAGCCAAGACCAACACCCACGAGCTCCTGTGCCCCACGAAGCTCTTCTGTGACGGGCAGCTCCACCTCTGAGGCTCACAGCCACTGTGCAAGGCAGGGTGCATTGTCATTATTCCCTCCATCTCACAGAGAAGAATTCAGTGTTTAAACTTGGGTGTAAAGTCCCGACCAGGCTTGCGTGGCTGGTGGGAGACACAGCTGGACTCCGACCCTTAGGAGAGCAACGCCCTCCCAGCCCACCTAGGGAGCACCTCAAGGTAACCCTGGCTCCTCTAGACCTTAGACCACAACTTCACCTGTTCTTCTGTTTGTATTTGCTGAGAACCTGCTAGAGGCACCATGTTTAGTGGGGTGTAACCAATTAAAAGAAGGCATCAGGATCTCCCTCTCCCTCAGGGAGACATAGGAAGTGGCCCATGACAGGTGCTGTGGGTGTATGACTGTCCCCTCATGCAGCAGGGGTCAGGTCAGCAGTGCACCTGGCTGAATGTTCCATCTCTGGCGGGGGCACCGAGGTACAAGGAGACCCCCAGCTCCCTTTATTTCCTTGTAGCTCTCCAATCCTGCCCAGACTTAGAGAAACCCTTTCAGACTCAATAACAGGAATAAGAACCAAGGTTATTGCATGTGTACCAGGCGCCAAATCCTTTGCTAAATTATCTCCGTCGAGTCGCACCACAGGCCTGTGAGGTAGGTGATCTTAGTATCCCTACTGCACACAGGAGGAAATGACTATTTGGTGAAGTTAAGCCTTTCATAGGCCAGCGCTGCTGCTTGCACGCTCTCAGTGGCTCCCCTTGTTCGGCTCCTGGAATCAAGACCCATCTTCCCAGCTTGCATTCCGAACCCTCAACAACTGGGTCCTGTCTTCCCTCCTCACCTGATTATTTCTCTCTGTTCCTCTATGCCAACCCTCTGCTCCAACTGGCTGGTATATCTTTGGTCCCTTTGGCCAAAATGGCTCCTCCTCTTATCTTTGCTTGGACAATCCCATGCATCTTGTAGGGCCCAGGGCCATGCCCCTCACAGGGGTCCTCGCCCAGGGTCCAGCCCACACAGAGCATTATCTCCCCTACACCCCTGCAGCACTTTCTGTCCCTGAGCTGCTCACAGGTGTTACGGAGTCCCTGCCTTGCTGCAGCTGGGCCCTCCCATGCCGTCCAGGGACTGGAGGCCCCTTAGGGGCAGGGGCTTTGCTTTACACCTGCTGAGCTTCAGGGGTGCCCGATAGTACAAGAGGAGCTACACACACGCCCGGATCATGTTAGGGCTCTGGTGAGGAATCTGGAAGCTCCTAGGGCCCCCCTGTGAGGGGGGTGAAAAAAAGGCTGCTGTCACCATTTCCCCACATGGCTACTCTGGAGCCTTCGAAGGCTGTCTTGTCGCAGGAGTCTGAGATGATTGGTTTGTGAGCTTGGGAGACTTGCCTGGGGATGTGGGAGATCCCTCAGGGTGAATGGAATCACCTGGGGTGCTATGGGCTGCCCACAAGGATGGCTCCCTCTAGGGACAGCACCGACCCAGCGGGCCCCCTCCTTTTGTGGTAGAACTGTGGCAGCTGGGGGGCACTCGTGGTGCTGAGTCTGCAGCGAGGTTTGGAACCCCCACCCCCATCCTGGTCCCTGCACTGAATAGTGAGGTCCACCCTCCATCGTTGGGCCTGGACAGGCAAAGGGAGTGAGCCAATATCCCCCTACGACTTGGACGCAGAGAGGAAACTGGGGCCAGGGGGCCCGAAGCCCAGTCCAGGACCTTCTGCCGTGGGTGACTGGGCCTCGCTGGACCTGATGGCAAGATAGCTGCTCTTGGCTCCGTGGATCAAGGGGGGTTTAATTCCCCTGCACACGTAGGCAGGAGAGGACGGGTTATTTGATAAAGGAAAATAAATGGGTTACTTTTGAGTAAATAGATGGAGCTAAGCAAACAGAGTCAGCATCTCCTGTTCACCACCTTCCTCTCTGCAAAGCCAGGCCCAGCTTGACACCATGGGCGGCCTTCCTGGGTTCTCTCAGCACCACCCCCTTTCTCAGGGGGTTTCAGCCCCAGATCCTGTGCACCTTGCCAGCCTTTTATCCTCATTAGGGATGCTTGCGACTTTGGCTTTAATAAAACCAGGGGTGACCAGGGGCCGCAGAACAGCCAGCGTCTTATTGCTTTCATCTTCACCCTCTGTCAGGGGAGGCCGCCATAGGGCCCCTGGCTGGTAATGAGCTCCCTGGTGCTGGGGAGGTCACTGCTGTCCAGAAAGCAGCAGAATCCAAGTTGCCCCTCTCGACTGCTAACCCAGGGGCTGACAGCGTGGGTCTGAGCCCAGTAGCAGCTGGTAAGCGTCTTGGCTAATGCTTGCAGTGGGTAGGCCTTCAGCCAGGATGTCGGCTCCTGGAGCAGTCTGTCTTTACAGGCATACAGCCTGTCCAGCTACATTGTCGCCCGTTATGGTAGCACTCTCCCCTGGCTGCAGTATCCAGGCGTCTGGGCAGGAAGATTTGTAAAGGCCCATCTATTGCACCACACTGCCCTTGCTGTCCCCAGCTGCCCATCTGCAACAGCTCATTAAAGCACTTCTCTCTCCTTGATGCACTCACACAGCCGTAGGCATAGAAAAAGAATTCCTATCCGTGGACTGTGCCGGAAAGAGCAGTGAACCACAAGTCACTGCTTGTGGAGGCGTTAGTCCCTCCACCACTAACTAGCCCAGAGATGTCGGGCTCATCATTTCATATCTCTGGGCTTCGGTCTGTAAAAATGAGGGCGTTGCACTAGATGTTGTAGCCTTAAGGCCCCTGCCAGCCATAAAAACCAAGCATTCAAACTGGAAAATCCATTGTCAGGCATCATCAACTGAGATGGCCCAAGGATGCTTAACTGGTGTCTGTTTATTACCCACCTCAAGGTATCTAGCAACTTTGTTTTGAAATTCAAAGACACTCATTCCTTCCGTTCCTAATGCCCCCCAAGTGTTTTTTTGTTCTTCTCCAGGGCTAGCCTTCCTCCTCCTAAATAGGCAATGAGCGGCGTCAATGCCTCAGCATCCCTCTTGGGAATCCAGTCTGAGCGGAAACAAGAACGACGCTTCCCCATCTCTTAGAGAACACTTCTAGTCTCTTAATCATTAAGTGGCTTGCCTGAATTTCCCATCAACAGCAGAGAAGCATCCGCTACACTTTCAGAAAAGCCACAGGAGGGTACAAGGATCTCTGAAGCACTAGGCAGGAAGTGCTGTTAAGTTACCCTGGGGCTGGGGGGCTGGAAGAGAGATGGGGTGGAAGCGAGTTTGCCTCCAATGGGTAAAGAAATGGCCAGTGAGCCTCTGTGTAGGCCTGGGGCTTGGAAGCGGGGTTAGAGGTGAATCAGATGTGGAGGCTGGATGCCGGGACTGCTCCCACAGCCCCCCAGACCTCTTCAGAGCCCACACCACGACTGTAACCTTTACCTTGATTGTGGGGATTGTATGATGAATGCTGTGTCTTCATTAGATGGTGGGTTCTTTGGGAGCAGGGATAGGGTTTGGTGTTACTCATCAACCCCCACGTCTAGCCCAGGGCCTGATTCACAGTAAGAGCTCAGGAAATAACTGGCTTGACGAAGGAATGGTTGAGCCTATGGATTTGGGGTCAGGCCGATCTGGGTCTAGGTTCCAGCTCTGACGTTTATGAGGAGTGTGGCTT